GGCAAGTGACCTGCAGGAGAAGCAGGTGGCTTTCACCACTTAGCTGCACACGTACCCAGAGAGGGGATAAGATGCTAATAAGCGAAATAAGCTGTAGGCCCAGCTGCTGCCCCATTCCATCAGTGAAGCAAGAGATCAGTAACCATGAATATGAGCCATCACAGTACCTGTGGCCTGCGTCAATTTTCAGCATGTAGGATGGCTAATGTTTCACTTTTGCCTTTGAAATCTTACTCAAATATCTTTTGTGGTGAAACCTAATGTGGAAACCTACAGGGAATGGAATTCTAGGAAATATAGTTCTGGCCTAAATTCACACAGTCCAAAGCCACCACAAGTGATATTTTCGGTAACATGATGCCTTTATTTGTGTGGCTGTGTATAGCTTATGGAGCCCTGGTGGTGTAGTGATTAAGAGCTTGGCTGCTAACCAAAATGTTGGCAGTTCGAATCTACCAGGTACTCCTTGGAAACCCTATGGGGCAGTTATACTCTGTCCTATAGAGTCACTGTGAGTCGGAATCAACTTCACAGCAGTAGGTTTGGTTTGATTTTATATAGCTTATAAAATAAATTCACATACTTTGTCTGCTTGGTCCCCCAGAGCAGTGTTGTGAGGTAGGCAGGGAGGGCTTAGCCCCCTTGTTTTCAGGGTGATCAAATGGAAATTTCAGAGGAATGAGGTGAAGTGTCCAAGTCACATAATATCTGTGGGAGAGCTGCAGCTAGAATCTGGATGTTCTGACTCTAAGTCCAATGTTCTTCCTACCACACACGATTGAATTTATGGCTTCTTCCTAAGGGCTTTCAATGACTGACCCCAATTTATGTGAAGAACATCTTATCCATCAGGTGTGTAGAAAATAAACCCTAAGTTCTCAAGGGCTTGAGAAAGAAAGCCTTCTATTTTTATTAGTGAGTTTAAAGTAGATGCAAGGGCTCTTTAGGAGCTCTGAGGGCTATGCTTCCAAAGCACTCAGGATTTGCTGTCCTGCAGCCCAAGAGCCATGATATGAGGAGTTCTTACCAGGAAGTGGTGGATAGAGACAGACTTAATGGCATGTCGTATAATGAAAATACAATTGATGGCTCAACAGAACTTAAAACGATAAACATTTCTTGAATGTATACATGTGCTCTTGGAAGATGGGCATTGTAGTTACGCAGACCATGGTTACAACCATAATTCCACCACTTGCAGGGTGTGTATCCGCAAGAGTATCTCAACCTTTAACTTTAAATTTCTTTGTCTCTAAAGTTGGATAAAATACCTATTTTATATGGAGGTTTAAATAAAGAAGCTTTGTAGAAATGCTTAGTACAGCGTGTGGCACACGTATAAACATTCCGTAAATGGCATCTCATCACAATAATAAATGCATTCACCCTCCTTTTTTCTTGATTGAGCACTCACATTTCTGTAACTGGTCGTAAGAGATGACATTAAGCTGGCCATGATGTCACCATGCCCTCCAGGGTGACCTCTGACTATGGATGTATGGAGTCTGTAGCAGTAAAGAGGTTCAAGTGAAAGAAGCTACTTCCATTTTATCAAAGGCTAATTAAATTAGGCCAAGGCCTTTGATGATTCAAATCTATGAAAGATTCATCATAAAGTGTCATTCCTTGGAATTGAAATGAGATCCGCAGGTGATCTAGTTCAGTGTTTCTCAGTCTTTATTCTGTTTACGAATCACTTGAGGATCTCTTTAAAATGCTGATTCTGATATAGTAGATTACGAATCACTTGAGGATCTCTTTAAAATGCTGATTCTGATACAGTAGGTCTGGGTGAGGCCCTAAATTTTGCATTTCCATAAACTTTCTGACAATACTTAGGCTCACTGTCCAAAAACCGTACTTTTGGTCCAGAGGATCTTGCCAACACTGTCGTTTTCAGATAGAGCTAATTTTGAGCAGTTACCCCAAATCACAGCAAGTAGTGGGTATTGACTACCTCAAGCTAGTAATGGCAAAGCTAGGGACAGACCCAAAATGTCCCAATTCTCAATTCATAATTCTGTGACACCATACAGCAACTAAAAAGAAAAAACAAAGCAAAACAAAAAAAAGCAATTTATTCCAGAGTCAGAATTTAAAACAGAGATATTAAAAATTCAGAAGAGCAGTAGGTAACTGAACAGAAGAATTCTTGGTCAAGCATTTTATTTTGCTAAAGTGTTTTAAAATCACTGCACAGGAGGCGATTTATTGAAGAAAAATTTTTTAAAAATATAGATAAGCAAAGGAAAAAGAAAAAGTCATAATTCCACTGCTCAAAGTTAGCCAAAATGCACTGAATGTGCTCTTATTCCTTTTGATATATATCCTTCCTTATTTTTTACTTACATGTAAAATTTCTCATGCATAAAATGGGATTATACTTGTAAATATTTATTTCGTATGTCAGTAAATATACTTCCATAACATCATTTTCAATGGCTCCGTAATATCCCACTATGGGGATGTACTACAATTTATTTAACTTATGCTGCATATTTAGGTTATTTCCTGTTTATAGCTTTTAAACTGGAAAGGAAAGTTATTTCTTCACCTCTTGTGGCAGGATGATACAGAAATCAGTTTCCCAGCAGCCAGGATAAACACCCAATGCTATAATAAGCATAAGGATTCCAGATTGGCATAAGTGTTAAACCTAACACTGTCAATTTGATCCTGACTCAGGACTACCTCTTGTATTATAGAGTAGAACTGTGCCCCATCGGGTTTTCTTGGCTGTAATTGTTATGGAAACAGATCTCCAGCCCTGTCTTCTGTGGTGCCACTGGGTGGGTTCAAATGCAAACTATTTGCACCACCCGGGGATCTGTGCATAGGGATTACTGATACGGAAATCTAAAGACATCCAGGACAAAGGAGAGGCCTTTTTAACATTGACCTGGTGGCTTAGTGGTTAAGAGCTATAGCTGCTAACCAAAAGGTTGGCAGTTTGAATCCACCAGCTGCTCCTTGGAAACCCTATGGGGCAGTTCTATGAGTCAGAATCGTCTCGACAGCAATGGGTTTCTTTTGTTAATCTCATCAGGCTTCCATGTCTGTTACTTATTTACAGAAACTATGCCTCTCCATTGTAGCTCAGCAGCATTCTGTTCAGAGCCAGAAGGCTTTAGGCAATATCTAACCAACCCCTGAATCCCACAAAGGGGATGTGACTTGTCCAAGAGCAGCCAGCAACCTAGAGGCCATGCCAAGACTGGAAGCCAGGACCGGAATCCAGAATTCCTGGCACTTTTCACCCTGCCTCTGACCTTGGAGAATGAATGAGAGGTCACGCTAATGAAGGTCGGAACCAATCACCATCAGTCTGTTTGGATAATCTTTCCCCCCACTTTTAGTTAATCTGCTATTATTGCTTAGCCATAACTAAAAAAGGCTAGTGCCCTTCTCTGAAAAAAAGTACCCCTCAAAGCTAATAACTCGAGGTATATGATGATAATCACTTTAGTTGTGGAGACTGATATTCAAAAGCAACTTCTTAAGAAAGGAACAATACTTAACCCACATGGGGAAAGATATTTTTAAATGCCCTGGAGGGCTCTGTATTTGCAGATAACTTATCAGAAAGTTGAATGCAATTAAGGATGGGGAATTATCTCTAAATTTATACTTAAGAATGTAAATTACATACAAACTAATGGGACTAAAACTATTTGATCTTTTAATATTTAATTAATGGTTCCCCATGGCCTTTTTATAGCCTGTGTTCTATTGTGAGCAACGAGACTTTAATAAGCAGGTTTGGGACTTCCCATTGTGAGCAAGATGTCGTTGCTTCTATGACACTAATTTGGCTTTCATACGCTCTCCCTTCTCCTCTTCTCTTGCTACAGGGTTCCCTGTGTCTTGCTCTGGCACTGGGAACAACTAAATATATTAGTTGAATTGTTATTGCCTGTGCGAGCTTCTTTCTGGTCTAGAATTTAGATATGGGCAAAAGGCTTCTTGACACTTCTCCTTCCACTGAAATCCCTTGAAGATTGTAATAAAGATGATTTTTCTTTCTGAGAGCAAGACACTTAACAACAATGAGATAAGATGCATTTTCTTCTTTCCAAGGAAAAGGAGTGTTTGCTTGAACTTCACAGATCATGTCTGATTTAGAGCTGTTTTTCTTACCTCATGTATTCAAGGCAGAGCAATCCCTGTCTGGCCCAGATGACACCCACAGAGGGATCTTATTGTATCTGAGTCCCCAGGAACACTCGTCTCATTACTGCCCACTCGTCTCCCTGTCTAGCCGAGGAGCCCAGTACGTGGGTATTGTTCATGTGGCCCTCTGGCTAGTTTAGCTCAAGGAAATGCAAGCAACCAAACCCATATGTCTTTGAAATTCCCCCAGTAGGTTTGCTTTCTCTGAAGGTTTTTTTTGTTTGTTTGTTCTTTTTTTTTCAGTTGATTCCGACTCATAGAGAACCTGTAGGACAGAGTAGAACTGGCCCACAGAGTTTCCAAGGCTGTAATCTTTACAGAAGTAGACTGCCACATCTTTCTCCCTTGGAGTGGTGGTGGATTCAAACTGCCGACCTTTCACTTAGCAGCTAAGTACCTAACTACTGCACCACCAGGGCTCCTCTTATATGATATACCCATAATATGGCTGACTAGTCTTTTACTGAGAGGCATTTGGGTTATTTCTAATTTTTTGCTATCCACAAACAAGGCTGCAGAGAACACATTAAACATATGTTATTTTGCACATATGCAAGTATATCTGCAGTGTAACTTTCCAGAGGTGCAGTATTTAGATCAAAGGATATATCATTTCTCATTTTTTTTGCTCATTGCTTTTCCTAGAGAAGACAAGTAAGGGTTTGAAAAATTCTACATTATTATGTTCATCTTCACCTATTTCTGGCACAGTGTGTGGCATGAAAGGCATTCAATAAATGCTTATTTTAGGATTATTTCATTAGTCTCTCCATCTCCATTTATACATTTTTCTCCTGAAAAACATTATCCTTGCTACTGAGTTATATTAGCTAAGGCAGAAATTATGTGGATCCAGAAAGAGGGGAAAATATCCATGTTGAGTCATCAAAAACAAAACAAAAATTTTGACCTGTGGACTTGGTAGAGTCGGGCTGCATTCTGGGAGACTGAGGTTGGGTGGGGGAGGAATTGTCAGGGGATCCCAGGGAATTTTGCACCAGGATAGTCCAGCCCCACCAGTAGGGTCTCTGGAAACCAGTGGCACTGACACAACCTCCTCTGTTAATGGAGATCAAGTCATCTTTGATTAATGTCACAGAACTTACTGATTTCATGAAACTTAAGTTTCAGCAAGGATGGGATGCCATGTTAGCTTTCTGACAACTCTTTATCCAGCAGCAGGGGATGACAGAGAGTCAGAGACCACTCAGTCCAGTGATTCTCAGACCTGGCTGACCATCCACTTCAATGGGGGAAACTTGTTAAAATGATGAAGTCAGACTCTCCCATGTAAGGGATATGATCGCATTTTCTAAAAAATTTCCAAGAGGTTTTGATCATCAGCTGGGCTCATACACATTTGGTTTTGTCCAATCAATTATACATAAGAAAGCAGAGGTGTGGGAAGGTCAAATAATTGGCTATAATAAAACTCAAAGCAAACCCATTGACGTTGTATCAATTCCAACTCATGGTGACCTCATGTGTTACAGAGTAGAACTGCTCCATAGGGTTTTCTTGGCTGTTATCTTTACAGAAGCAGATTGCCATTTGGTAAGTTGGAACTGCTGACCTTTAGGTCAGTAGTCAGGTGCAAACTGTTTACACCTAAAGCAACAACAACATCCCATTGCCATCGAGTCAATTCTGACTCATAGCGACCCTACAGGACAGAGTAGAATTACCCCATAGGGTTTCCAAGGAGCAGCTTGTGGATTTGAACTACAGACCTTTTTGTTAGCAGCTGAGCTCCTAACCACTGCGCCACCAGGGCTTCTTTGCACCTAGAGGCCACATAATTAATTCATGACAGAACTTGAATTTGAGCCCAGGTCACTCAATTCCATGTTCAGTATGTTCTGTCAATGTTCTGGGTGACATGGTCTGTATGGAGTGAATGAGGAAAGCAGATAGGTGAAGCTCAGCACCCTTTACTTCCACTTCATCTGAAGCAGCTCCTCTCCCTTCCTGTTTTGATTCTCATCTAAAAAAATTTTTTTGAGAAATGGACTCCATGAGAAAAATATTTCAAAGCCAACTGCCTTTTATCATAGATTGAGAAAACAAACAAAGATCCTACAACTGCCTTATTCCTGGGAAGAGGAGGTATTTAAATGGGTCCTAGTCAGGCTAGGGAGCCCTGGTGGTGTAGTAGTAAAGAACTCAGCCGCTAACCAAAAGATCAGCAGTTTGAATCCACTAGCCACTCCTTGGAAACCCTATGGGACGTTTCTACTCTGTCCTATTGGGTTGCTGTGAGTTGGAATCGACTCAATGGCAATGGGTTGATGGAGCCAGGCTAGAGTCTCTTTCTCCTCTTGTGAGAGAAAGGTCTCAAGCTGAGAGGATTAGGAGTGCTGATATTTAGAGATGGTTAGGTCTTTGGCGTTAAAGCCATATTATACAGAGAATAACTCTATGGGGGCAGTTCTACTGTGTCCTTATAGGGTGGCTATGAGTCAGAATCAACTCGTTGGCAATGAGTTTTTTTTTTTTTTTTTTTAAATACAGAGAATGTATGAGAATTTGCAACCTGATTATCATTAACATTGCCCAGGGTTAGAAATGAGGTCAGCACTGTGTTGTGGGGCTGGAAATGAAAGATCTGGTGTCTTGTCTTATCTCTGCCACTTCTTAGCTGAATGAATTTAGCCCAGTTACTTCCCCAAGCTGGCCCCAGTTTACTCATCTATGAAATGGAATGGTTTGGACTAGATAGTCCCTGGACTTCAGTGATTCCCAATCCTGGCTGCCCATTGGAATCATCTGAGATGCTTTAAAAAATACTGGTGTACTGATAAGTGGGTCCCATCCGCTGAGTTTCCGATATAATTGGTCTAGTGCGCAACCTGGGCATTGGGATTTTTAAAAGCTCCCTAGGAGATTTTGCTGTGAAGCCATGGTTGCAACTAACTGCCTAGAGAGCAATGGTTCTTGTAGTAGAGTCCCCATACCAACAGCATCACATAAGAACTTGTTTGAAATGCAAACTCTCAGGCTCTGCCCCAGACCTATTGAATCGGACACTCTGGGGCTGGGGCCCAGAAATCTGTGTTTTATTCACACACATACTAGGTGATTCCAATGTGTGCTGAAGTTTAAAAATTACTGAGCTAGAGGGTTTGTGAACTTCATCTCAGGACAGGAGGCAATTAATCTTTAAGCTAGAGCAAGGCTCAAAAGTAGGAACACCTGCTTGGAGAAGGGTGGAGAAAATGAGGTGAGGAGACTGAAAGAGTTCATCTCCCAGAGCAAGTTAAAAGGTGTGGTCAGAGCATCAGAAGAAAGCAGTTCTTTTGTCCTTTATTGCCATGTGATGCGCTCTCTGAAGAGGGGAAGGGTGTGATTTAACAATGTGTATCTTGCTAAATGCTTTGAATTTCTGAATAAACATGCTTGCTCAAAAAAACTCATCCTCTGAAAATGGCTATCTTTATTTCTATGAGAAAGTGTAGGTCAGATTATGGAAGACAGGACTTTGATCTCACCCAAGGAGAGCAGCTTAGCAAATATGAGCGTTCAAGGCTAAACTCTTTGACAGTCAGTGCCTAGAATAAATAGGCAACTACAAGAACTGTGTCTTTCCTGATGGGCTTTCTGGAGGAACTGCTAGGATATACTGATACATCATAAGCATAAGGAGGGCTCACTCTTCTCTACACTAAGTATTTTCTTTTTCCCACTCAGCCAGGGACCATTGAGACTGCCATGGAAGATTTGAAAAGCCACATAACAAAGACTTCTGGAGAGACCATTCAAGGCTTCTGGCTCTTGACTGAGTGAGTAGTTATGGCCAAGCAAACCAAAACCAAACCCATCGCCGCCGAGTCTATATTGACTCACAGCGACCCTGTAGGACAGATTGGAACTGCCCCATATGGTTTCCAAGGCAAATCTTTGTCTGGAGTTACGATAAAAACCAAGTCTAATGCATAAGTCTTTGTTGCTTTCGCTGTTCAATAATTACTTCCGTTCACTACAAAGTCTTACGATAGCTATAAGAACTTTAATTGAAAATGCTGTAATAAAGATGGTGTATTTATGTTATGCACAGAGATATTAGTGTGTGTGTCCCTTTCTTCACCTTCCAGAATATTAATAATGCCACAGGCTTTACAGTGGTAAGTAAAATATTCATATAATTAGGGAAAGAGGCGACTCTTTTCTGATACAGAATCCACAGTATTAAATGGAGAATTCTATTAGAATTCGACTTCAGATACTTACTTAATTGGTTTAGTAAGCTCTGTTTTTTGGTTTGGGAACTTCTGGATCAACAAAGATTCCAGCAGAGAAGCTTAACAAGTCTTATACCTTGCGCCCTTTCCAGGACAGCTTCTTTGACAGTTTCAGGAAGGTAACACTTGCATGTATAACATCCGGGCCATCGAAACAAAACCCTCGATCAATGGAAAGTAGAACTAGATCCCAAGAAAAGTCCATCTGACTGACCACAATGTATACTATTGTTTCAATGGATCCCAGGAATTGAATGAGACTGAACTTTGAAACCCACCCCATCAGTTTCTGGGCATTTGTTTCCTCTTATATAAAATGGAGATGATAATATGTACTTGAAGAATTCTTGTGAGGACTAAATGAGATAACATTAGTAAAATTCCAGACAAAGTTCCTGGCACATAGTAGATTTTCAATAGAAATTAGAGTCCTTTGTTTGTTCGCAAATACTATTAATAGAAGGCCTGTTTTTGTTTTTTTTTTTTGGTAGCCTCTGTATTTCTTTCTATCCCATCCATCTCTCTCATTTTTGGATTGCCTCTAATGAAGGAAATTAGTTTTTTTCACTAAATCATTTTTACCAATCCGTGCTTCATTCTCCACTCCACTGCCTGTCCCCCACCCCCATTGCAGAGTAAAGTTTGACTCCTCCAAAAGAAAATCTGCCTTGATTAGGACAGATTCCTTACATAGATTCTGAAGGTCAAATCAGAAGCCAGCACTCGCCCATTTTGCTTCTATGATGCATCTCACTTATAAGGAAGAATGCACAAATTCGTTCTTTCAAAAATCGGTGGTGGCTACTTTTGTAACAGAATTAATTTGTTTAATAGTATATATTTTAAATTGTTTGATTTTATTTGTGTAGAAGTTTGCTTTTTTTATTTTTTGTTTTTTTTGGTTCAGAGATTGTAAAGGACTGTAGACAAGAATTGTCCAAAGATAGATTGTGTGATGTGCATTGAGACTTAACACCATAATTCTGTGTACTTGAATTAACATCAATTAGAATGACTGGTGGAGCCCTGGTGGTGCAGTGGTTGAGAGTTATGGCAAGCTACGGCTGCCGATCAAAAGGTCGGCAGCTCAAATCCACCAGCAGCTCCTTGGAAACTCTATGGGTGTAGTTCTGCTCTGTCCTATAGGGTCGTTATGAGTCAGAATTGACTTCACGGCAATGGGTTTGGTTTTTTTGGAGAATGATTGGTGGAACCAGTAGTTTCCAGATAAATATGAACAACTGTGCCCCAAAGATCCAAGTTTTGAACTCAGCTCTGAACTTAATAAGAAGTTAGAAGAGTTATCAAGGTCTATCTGGCAGCTAGTTTTCTATTTCTCTTTTGTTTTGTGGTATCAGTTTGAAATAAGGACAAGAATAGGGGAGGGTGGCTTGTGCATGTGGAATTTCATGCAATCATATTCACTTGTTTGTTGTCAGGCTTTCTTTCTTTGTGCTTTGGAACCACGTTTCTCTTTGTTCAATGCTAGATCTTTCGTGTGTGTACTGTTTGGTTTTATCCCTGTCAGAATCCTCTAATCCCTTGCCCCATCAACAGCTACACTTAAAAAAGATCTGATTTCAATCATTTCTACCATAGTAGGAATTTGCCAGTTCCTTTTTTTTTTTTTTTTAAACTGTTAAGCCTCATTGCAATGGATAGAGTGGCCAGTTGTGAAAAAGATGGTTGAGACATCTTAACTGAATGAATGCCCCCTTCCTTACCTTGCACCCCTTTTCACTGTGACTATTTAAACAGAAGATGGGAGGTCCTTTGTCAGGAGCAGCGTGCATAGAGGCTTTGAATGACCTTTCATGTTTCAGTCTTTTTCTGTTTGATTGGACATTGTAGTGCATCAACAAAGGGAAGGCAACAAAAACAAAACAAAACAAAAATTATCCCACTGAATTACAACTGCAAAAAAAAAAAAAAAAAAAACAAGCCAAAACAAACATGCAGATCCAGAAGAGTGAGAGCCTGGAGCTACTTCTGTGCCTTTTGCTCCTTTTTCTTTTTGTGGAATGAAGTCCATCCATTCTGTTTTTATAAATTACAGGAGCTCCCTCTAGTAGAAGAACTCCCACTACCCCACCAACCACATAAGAACCTCTTCAAGCATGATAGTCTTTTTTGCATGTGACATAAATAACCTGGCTCTGTGCACACTAACTTTTAGCTCCTTCTACGGACATGGGACCCTCTGGCTGCTTATCCAGCAGTTTGAAGAATGTCTGCTTTCAAACAATGTAACCGCTACAGACATGACGCTATTTCTTAGGTTCAGACAATCGATAAAACAATAAATCAAGCTCGGACTTGGAGTGTTTGCTCATTTCCATGGTGTAAATGTTGCCACCGTGGCCAATTTCAGGCTACCAACATGATGGCCCTGCCTGAATGTGGAATTTGGAAGAAATGTGCAGTAGCACATCATCATATAGTACTTCTACCATGCAGATATAAAAGGCATAAATAACTCCAGAGCATACAATGGTAAATGCAGTAAAATAAACAGAGAGTGATAACTTCTGAGTATTCCTTACTCTTGTTTTAATTAGTTTATTTAATGGTAATCTTATATAACTTAATTTTAATAATTAACAACTGGCTGTTAAATTTTCTAAAATTTACCAATCGCCTTTCTGATCCAGTGTGAATCAGCTTCAGTAAACTACTGGATCAGACTCTCACGGACACTGTACAAATATGTAAAACAAAGCTCTGAAAATGGCAGGTTTGGTGCAAACTCATGGTAAAGCCAGATGTGAACCAACCCAAATCCACTTATAGTCTTTATTTATCTTAATTTCTAATATGCATGAATATTAATGTGTTTGATTATGGGGGGCTGTCTCAGACCTCCACTTGAGTCATAATACAGATAGCATATGCATTGTTTTATTTTTCTAAAGTCTGAAGAATTTTCAATTCTGACTCATATCTGGTCCCACAGGTTTTGGATAAGGGATTGTGGACCTACGGTGATCTTTATAAAGCGTAAATATGGTCACGTGCTCTCCCCCTTTGGTGGCTCCCTATCACCTGTGGAGTAGAATCTAATTTCTTTAACGTGACCCACAAGACTCTTAAGCACTTCTCCAGCCTCCTCTCTTGACAATGCTCACTTTGCCCTCTTATATCAAACTACTTGCAGTTCTCAGGAAGCATCTGTGGTAGATGAAATTGCTGTTTACTAAATATTCTGGATCCTTCACTACAGTCCCTTTCTGTAGGAAGATTATACATCTCTTCCAACTAAAATTCAGGAGCAGGCAGGGGACCAGCTTCGGGCAATGACATTTAGGCAGAAGTGACATGTGTAATTTCTGGGGAGAGGCTGTAAGATCCAGTGCCTGATTACTATGTGCTTTTTCCCTCTGCCATGACCACTGACAATGTCCCGTTTAGCCACTGCTACATCAGCCTGCATCCCTGAGTGAAGGTGATGTGGAGCAGAGCCACGATGAATGCCATGCATTGAGCATGGAGTATGGTGGAAAATAAACCTTTGTTATCGTAAGTCACTGGGATTTGTGGCTGGTTTATGACCACAGCATAATTTAATGTATCCTGACTAATGCAAGGCCATGAGAGTGGATACACTCCTGGCATTTTCACATGATTTCCACTGCCCAGAAAACTCTTCCTTAACTCTTGTCCAATTGTCTAATTTTAATCTGTTCTTTAAAACCCCATTCAGGTGCCATCCTCTATGGGAAGCTATCTTTGAAATCCCCCACCCCAACCTGAAATAGAGTGCATTAGTTTCCCCTTTGTGCTAGCCCTATACCTTGTATAGCCTTCTGTTGTGACACTAGTCAAAGTTGATCACAGTGAAATGCATTGAGGACAGTGTCAATATCTCATTAATTTCTGTATCTCTCATAACCAGCAGAGTACATGTCACTTAATACTCAATGATATGGTAGCTGGTTTAAATTTAATTATCCATTGTATTTCTTATTCCCCTCATGTAAAAGTACATATTCTAAATTCCTCTTAAAATACAAGGTTAGGAAATTTATCTCTTACCAAACTACTCCTCATCTTTTTCATTAAATAATAATTATATCAGATTTCTCTTCTGCCGTGGCTATCAAGAAATGCAAAGTCAGATTGTTACAACGTCATTTTATGTGCCTAGTTCTTGGAAAAATCATCTCCCTTTCCCTTGCTTATATGAAATTTCTGTTAACAGTCTTTATTTTTCATTGTCCTATTTGATATAAGATTTGTACTTCATATATAAGCCAATTAAAACAACAACACCACCACCAAAAAAAAAAAAAAAGTTACCATTGAATTGACTCCTACTCATGTCATGTCATGTGTGTCGGAGTAGAACTATGCTCCATAGGATTTTCAGTGGCTGATTTTCTGGAAATAGACTGCTTGGCCTTTCTTCTAAGCAGTAGAGTGTGTTAACCTTTTGCACTAGGGAGAAAATGAATTTATAGGCAAAGAAACCATTCCTTTCTTAAGAGTAATACAAACTCATGGTATGATTTGGATAAGATGTGTCTGCATTTTCATATGGATCT